GTAGTAGCAGTGTAACTACTACCACCGTAAGAAGCTGCTAGTACTAATGGCTGTTTTAATATTATTTTTTCCCTATTGCTACGAGTTTCATAACAATTGAAACGGGCTCACACACCAGCCAGTGCGCAAGTGCTCTCGCCCAGAGAGCAAAWAGTATTGATTGGAAGTTTTAAACTTTGATTTGAAGTTATGAACTTCAGGTAGAAAGTCTACCAGGTTCTACTGAGCTAGTTTTTGGATGGCATTCATGATTGAAAGGCCAGGACTCATGATTGAATCACCTCCTCGAACCATTTTGTTTTGTTTTGAGGGGAATCGATTTGGTCATTCAGTCATTTTTAAAAACTAGCTCAGTAGAACCTGGTACATCATGTATGAGCAAAAGTTCATAACTTCAAATTGAAGTTTAAAACTTCCAATCAATACTTTTTGCTCTCTGGCGGAGTCCGGTTTCAATTGTTATGAAACTCGTAGTAATGTGAATGGTGAAAATAAAAAACACRAAGGTGAAAAATCCAACCATACTCAATACTAGTACTAGGCCCCAATGCCAATTTTCTCCCTGTTCCTTAAATGATTTTTGAGGAGGAGGCATCACAATATGCTGTCAATTGTCAATGAATTATGTTTTCATTCTTCATTTATTTCAGTTACTTTATTACTTCTTCAAGTCAAATCTACTAGGTATGGTAAGGAAACCACCAATTATTATTCCTATTTTTCAKTATTTTCAATTGTGATTTTGTCCATTCAATTCCATTGATTTTTTAATTGCACATGCTGACCCATTCTGTTTCTCTTGTTTCTCTTTCAACAACAAGGAGGGGTACAAACAACAGAAGTTTGCTTAACTCTCACCAGCAGTAGTAGCACATATTTCAAAGAACTTCAATAGAAAAAATCTAATCCTGACCAATACAAATTGTTTTCATTTCACCATAGAGAATATATTACAGGAGTATTTGCTCTTCTATTGTCTAAAAAACTAAAAGGGTTTTGGAAAAGCAGCACTATTAAGGCCATGTGGAGCAGCAGTTTCCTATATTTTACCAATGTTTCTTCCATGATCTTCCACTGTCATACTACTAGTAGTAGTACTAATACTACTAATATCTGCAGTTAATAGGTCAAGAATTGAACARAAAGAATTTCTATTATCACCATTAAAATTGTATGGTGGTTTCTGATTTATAATCTGCCATCATTTCCACCACTACTGATRGGTACTAATAGGAATCTAACTTTTGATGAAAGGAGTGAGATGAGGATCACAGCAGARCATATACCAGTCATTTGTGCTACTTGCAATACTCAATTAGGGTGCTCAGTAAATGCTTGCTGACAATATTGGTCAACATTCTGAACCAATATCGTTTTCTTGGGTTTATGTCTCCCAAACAGCAGTGAAATTCAAAAAATGATGACAGTGAAACTTTGACAGAATTTGATCTTGTTTCTGTCAACAATAGACTGTTGGTGATAAGTTCCTGTATCACATTCCAGTCAGATGTAGATCAGGAGAATTAGAAGAGATTCAATGGGAGGAACAATGTAGTTGTTTCACTTGGAAAACTCAATGACTACTAATAGCGCTGTACCTTGTCGTCAATACTACTTACAAACAGACCAACTGGTAGTTTTAGGTTGTCACTAACATGTTTCACTATTATATCCAAAGGTGACATCTACTAGTATGTAGACAATATGTTTAACAGAGGAACACCAGCCTTTAAACAGAGTCTTTTCCCATTACCTTGTTAAGAAAAGTTCATTAATGGGATCCTACACGACCTTCAACCTAATAATGATATATTTTCTMGAAGCAGAGGCTAATATGGAGACAGTTTGCTTCAGGGTTTTCATCTTTTTTGCCTTTGTGTTCATTTTGCTAAGGGTTAAGAAGAATGACATTAATGAGAATGACAACAACCCCCAACAAATAACCCTGCCTGCAAATGAAGCTCCTCCTGCAAGTACAAATCCTCCGTGGTAAAATCATCCTATTCATCACACAGAACAAGAAGGTCTCACTAGGTTGGATCCCAATAATTTCAACAAGTGGGAACAACTTATTGYCACTAACTACCAGGATGATAAATTATTTTCAATTTTCTTGCTTTGGCTCTTTTCTTTCTGTTCTTGGTCTGCTTGACTGACTGCTTCCCTTCACCTTGTCACTTGTTTTTCTGTGTTGCTGTCTCCTGTTGGTCACTACTAGTTCAGCAGTTCATAAAAGAACTTAATATTCTTTTTAACCATATTGGTGTGAACTACTACAAGAGGACCTACTTGGTGGAAAGAGTTTTGTACTAGGAGGCACAACCAGTAGTAGTAGTACTAGACTCCATTCCAGTTTATAAAATGCACATCATGTTTGAAKGAACATTGAGGTGCAAAGTATTTCTACTAGTATCAGCAGCTTGTTGTTTGTAGGTAATTTATAATTCTTCATCTCAACTGGTGTTTTCCATCCACTGATCTTTTAGGCTTTTCCTCTTGCTGTTTTCATTCAATTAGTAGTACTASYAGTAGATCAATATGTCACACAAAAAGATACATCTTTTMTCTGCCAAACAAGTTATTAATATTGTTAGCACATAAAAGTAGAGACTTTCCTCCTCCTGTGATTTTTTGTTTTTACAAATGCTTGCCTGCTGATAATCATTTTAAGTATCAACAAAATTATGCATGTGTATTTGTTGTAGCACCACTTTCACTACTACTACTACTACTACTACTACTACTACTAC